AATAAAGCATAAGGGGAAAGACTAAAAGCAAATTGTGAGTTTCAGCCTGTAATCTTGTCTAACTAATGACAATCTTCCTTTTCATATCAGTAGATGCCAAGACAACTACAATGCAGACTGTAACATTTGCATGTTCCATTGAGAAGGCAGATCTTGCCTGAAAGCAAATCTGAAAGTAAAGTTCCGCAGTGAGAAAATAGAAAAATAGAGCTTTTATTGGAGTTGTATTTCAAAATGTTTTGCTGAACAGAGTGCCTGCCTCACAAACATATAGTCTGGCAAACACATACCCAGACCTTCAGGAGGGAGTTAAAGATGCATTCTTCCCCCAGCTGACAATAAGAGTTTTATCTATCTTGGCTATACTTATCAGAGACTAATTCAGGAATCATTGACCTGACGGACCAGAACACCTTCCTCGGTCAGTTGACTCCGGGCAGGTAGAGCACTTGCTTATATGTAAATGAAGGAATTAATAATCCTTAGAGTTACAAGAATTAAAATAGCTTCTTAATGTATGTGTTTTCTGCATGAAGGGATACAACTTGAATAAAATATGAAGTAAGCATTGTTGGACAGAAAACGAAGACCACATTTCTTCCTGTCAAAAAGTATCTAAAGCCCCTTTTTTGTAAAGGCAAGAATGGTGCCATATCCTTTTACTCTGAGTAAAAGTATACTGAGCCAAAACATTTCAGTATGTAATGCATGTACTCTGGCTTTCACTTGCATCTGTATCAAGCATAGTAATCTCTCTCATTACTTTCACTGCAATAATGCTACTAACTAGCCTGCACCCAACAGGGTTTATTTACCAACCAACGCTGAACAGGGAAGAATCCTCAGATGGCAGGAACTAATGCAGCTCTAATGAGGTCAACGGAGCTAAGTTAATTTAGAGGAGCTGGGGACCTGACGCTGTATGTGCTGAATTCCCATTATATGGGCATGGGAATATGAAAAGTTCCCTTAGTATGCAAGATCCAACTGAACATATCTATAGATGAGAACTCTCTACAGATGCTTCTATTATGTATTTTATTACAATATTACTTTTTGACAAACAATACACCATATGAAAATGCAAGAATCATTAGAGGTACATTTGAACTATTAAACAATTGTATTACTTTGTGAAAGAACTACAAAAATGCTTGAATTTATCTGCAGAATCTATTTTCTTCTTGATACAATTACAAGCAGATGTATCAATGAGATGTTCATTTAGATTTGGTTTGTAAGAACAAAAGTTATTATACAAGCCAATTACTCTTTTACCCACATGGCTGCACAGAGATAGAAAGTTCAATTTTCACCTCATCAGTGATTTTGTGGTATTTATTTTATTACTATAATACACCACTGTACAGCAAGGAAACTGCTTGTGCTATTAAACAAGAATTGGAGGGAAATTGAGGGCTTTCTCAATTAAAATCGATGATTCACAGTACAGACTCCCCAGTCTGACAGTGAAATGAACAGCGCTGCAGTGGCAGATTCTGCTCAGGATAACAAGAATTGAAACGCTTAATAAAATAAAAGCTGATAAAAGTTACTCTGCCAGCTTAAATGCAAGGCAAATGACAATTCTACATTCGCAGGGGTTACAGCAGATGGTATCATGAGTCTCTTCCATCTATCTTTTCCAGGTCCTACATTTACACTAGCTTTAACTGTCTTGATGTAGAACAAGAAAGAAGAGAAAAGCAGGGCAGATAGCTCATTATTCCTAACCTAGTGCCCTATGAGAAAGGGAATTAGCATGCTCAATTACTAGCATGGGGTATAATCCACAGAACAAGTTGACATGTTCATTATAGTTAAAAGTAGTTCAAATCCTGTTCTACTTCAACACAAAAGTCAATTCAGGGTGGAGGGGCAGCTGGCTGTGGAAAGCCAACAAGCCTTCTCCACGAGGAAATTCCATTTTGTGGATATGTGATGCCTTGTTTTGAGCACAGTGCAACTGGTTTATGAACAGACTGCATTAATCTTTGAAGCTATCTACTCTCTGCAACTAAACCACTTTTCCTGCCTATTTATGGTATTTGCATATTCTAGAGCCCTCTAGAAATATTAGTTTTTCATTTATATCTTATTCTGTTAATGACAGGAGAATATAGCCTAATATATGTTTGTGCAGACAACTTTAACCCTATGCTGACACATCTGCGGGCAAGCTGTTGGACATATGACAGTATTCTAGAAATGTGAATGTGTAAAATCTGTGCTCACCTGACTTCAGTGTTGCTATACATTAACTACTACAAGCCATTTGTGCTCCATTTTTACTTTCACATGGCCTGTTAGGGATCACAAATCACAGAAATAATGCACAAAATAATTACTTATTTCAGAACTTGTAAATCTTCAGAAGTTGATTCCTCTAAACCTTTGTATTTGGAAATATTCTCTTCAAATGAAGAACTATTCAGTTCACAGACATTTCTTTAAAGTAGAAAGGAATTTTGGAAAACATATCTATGGATGCTTAAATAAAGCAAAACAAAACCAAATGTTTATAGTTGCAAGTGAGGAAAGACAAGAACTGAGGAATTGTAGGTGATAATTTCCCAGCTGGATTTCACAACTATTTAATAATAAGAGCTTTCTATGTTGGCATGCTGGGCATGCAGAACAGCTGGCAAAACAGTGCTGTTTGTCCATTTTCTTTATAATGGGAATTTGGGGTTAGCTTGTGTGTTACTGAATGTGCATTGCTAAGCACATGCCATGGTTAGACACAAAAAACAATGAAAGAGGAAGTCAAGGCAAGACAGGGCATAGTATATACCCTTCTCTAAATTAAGCTCACTGATGCACACAGAATTGAAAGACTGTGGATAATATAGACATGATGGAGTAGCTGAACTCTGATGATTATTTTGCACAATAGGTATGTATTCATACAGGATAGGATTGGAATATTGTGTGGAAAACTTAAAACTCTTGCTTTCAAAACACTAAGCATCATTCTTTTCCACTCATCTTAAGGATGTCATGGGTACTTCATTCATATTCCAAAGCTCTTACTCTTTGAAAATTATAAATCAAGGTGTTTCCTAAGCAATAAAAATATTTTATACCTGCAAGACCCCAGTCTAGGCATTTAATAAAGGTTGTGTCAAAGCAAATACTATGTTACTTCATACCTGTGAGTCTTGAGAGAGACATGGTGCTGATTTGCTGCATTCCTGGATGGTCTGGGCTTCCACAGGTATTCGTGGCAAAATAACCTGTTTCTGAGAAGTGCCAAAAGGAAACTCCCTGATTTAGAAGAAAGCAGCAGTGAAGTTTAAAAGTTACTTTGATTTTATCCATTAAACCATTAGAGCTTCCATCTGGCTGAATTTAACTACTATATTATCACTGTAGTGTATAGCAAAAACTGCAAGAGTTAACAGAAAAGTTGCTACTGTAGCTACTTAAGTCTGTATTTCCTTTTATATTACTTTTTAACTTAAAACAAAATCAAAACAACAGATGACCAAAATAAACTCGTTTGTTTATTGGCAGGTGCTCCTGTTTACTTCATGATTTTGCTATGTTTGATAAGTTTCCATCTTACATTAATCCCTTCAGTAAAACAGATGCTCCACTTACCATTTCGCAAGCAGTTTTGAATGTTCTCCTTTATCAGTAGAAGAAATAGTTAACACTTGGCTGTTTATAGCATTTAAATAATTTTCAGCATGTTTCTGTTAGAGAAAAAAAGTTTAGACTATTAAAAGAGTGCTGGGATTAAGTTTTTACTCACTTAGCTTATCAATTTAGAGCTTTTACTGGAGTGAAAGTTGATAGATCCTATGTTACTGTCAGACTGAAGCAAAGCTTCATTTATGATATGAGCTACAAGATTAATTCCGACCCTCCAAAAAAGAAAACCCTTGCTCTAAACCACTATATTTGATGAATTCCATCATTTGCTAAGCAGAAAGGGAATTTGCAGATGCAAATACATGCCCTGTGCACTCAGTGACTTACTGACAGAAATCTTGGACTAAAGCATCTTCCTGAGCCATTTCATTTTACTCACTCTCAGTCCAAATTCAGTTCTTTCAATCGCCGCTTCCAAGTTGCTAATATCCTCAGCTTCTATTTTTCCTTTCAAGTTGATTTTTCTCACATTATTTTTAAGCTTGTGAAGGTCTCTTTGGACCTAAAAAAAATCAAGTTATTACAACAGTCAAAGCTATAACAAAAAAAAAAAAAAAAGCATGGGTTTATATACAGAAGGGCTTAATTCAAATAAAATGCTTTCCAAATAGAGAAAACACATAACATTTCCTGTAGTTCTGTTCTTTTGCAAATGAGAGATGGGGGAACTCAAAGCCAGTGACTTTTAAAGCCAGTGATTAGTAAAAGACCTGAAAAAAGAAAAAAAAAAAGTTTACCTAAAAGTTTACTAATAAAGCCTCCACTTTATTAACTCTAATGGAGTTATGAACTGCTGAAGCACCTGACTGGAAAGCACATTTTGCTTAGAAAGCAAAGAGACAATTCAATTTAATCCTTTTCCCATGGAAGAGCATGGGCTTTTTTTTTTTTCCTCTCATTCTTGAACACACACTTCAATTTGGTTTTTCTGCTCAAACTCCTCACACTGCTGTCAACTCAAGGGCTCGTCTGGAGACTGGGGCTCTCGCAGCTTCGCTGCAAACAGGGAACATCTTTAGGTGACTTTTCTTCGAGCAGGTTAAGTGGAGTCCTCGGTTTGAAAAGGGCCTTCCCGCCTCAGGGCGG